CGAGGCTAACGAGTCGTCTCGAGGCACTACCGAAAAGCAGCTAGGCTGGTGCAAGATCCCGAGCCTTAAATATTAAAGAAATTCAAAAGAGGAAAAATTTTCAGAAGTGAGGATGGTAGCGAGAAAACTTCGTATTCCTGAACTAAGATAAGAAATTAGGAGAAAGTTAAAAAAAAAAAAAAAACACAGACATTAGAACAGTCTGCATGTAATCATTTAGCCAATATTTATTTTACTCACACTATGTTCCAATCAATGCGCTCAGTGCTAAGGGTTACAAAGACAAAAACACATTGCAAGGTACCAAGGCACATGTAACAGATTGGCAAAGGGACGATTAAATATATAAACGCATACAGTTTGATGGAAGCTGTGATAGATTTAAGGAGGGGAATTCTGAGGAGACATTGGTTGTTCTCAGGAGTGGTCAGGGAAGACCATCCAGAGGAGTTGATGCAAGGGATGAGTGGAGTTTGCTGGGGGAGAAATGCAGTCACAGTATTCCGGAGAGAATGAGGGATGCAATGGTGCAGAAACAGAAAGCGCATGGCCTTGGAGGAGCACAATTACCAAAGTTCAAGTAGTATTTGCTGTGACGTGGGGAGCCACAAGAAAAAAAAAAGGTAAAAAGAAATGCAATAAGAAAAAATATGTAAGTATTTAAAGATATATATATATATATATTTAACTGGCTTATTGGCCTTCTTTTAAACTGAAGGAGATCAACTAATCCAGTCAAAGTTTTTCATATCCCTGCAAAGTTTATTTTTTAAAGATTAATTTATTTGAAAGGCAGAATTACAGAGAGAAAGGCAGAGACGGAGAACGAGCGAGCACATCCACCTGCTGGTTCACTCCTCAAGTGGCCACAGTGGCCAGACATGGATCAGGCTAATGCCAGCAGCATGGAACTCAACCAGATTTCCCACATGGATGCAGGGGTCCAAGCTGGATTGGAAATGGAGCAACCAGGACTTGAACTGACATCTGTATGGAATGCTGGCATTGCAGGTGGTGGCTTAACCCACTGCACCACAATGCTGGCCCCTTAAATGTGATTTTCTTAGCCTCCTACTATACCCATGTTAGCTTAGGTCTCCTGCCTCACTCTCTCAGAACTTACTGCATTCTTCCCTGGCATGCATCGTGGTTGTAATGTTAATGTTAATGATTTTTCCAGTGTTTTCTGCCATCACACTCTGTGTCTGTTTATCCCCACCTTATAGATCCAGTACCTAACACAGTTCCTGGTACAGCAAATAATAACTGTCTTGCAGGTGGATGGACACAATGTGTAGCCCAGAAGAGGTCTGGGCTGGGGAGGTAGGAGCATTAGCATATTAGTCATAGTCACAGCCCTAGCAGGCAATTAAATTGCTAAAGAAAATTATGGACTGAGAAATGAATTGGGTCTATGATGAAATTGCAACTATACCACTATTTAAATGGCTAGAAAAGAAAGAAAGAAAGAAAGAAAGAAAGAAAGAAAGAAAGAAAGAAAGAAAGAAATGCCTCTAATAGAATAACAACAAGTAGGGAAGCAGAAATAGTAAAGAGACAATCGGCAGGATTCTGAAAAGGAGTGGGGAGAGTTAAAGAAATTAAGTGGGCAGATTGTCAAGGTGTGCCGACATGTTTTTTTAGGGGCCAACATTTGGCGTAGCACTTGGGAGCCCCACATCCTGCTTCAGGGTGCCTGGGCTTGAGTACCGGCTATGCTTCTCCTCTATCTTCCTGCCAGTGAGCACCCTGGGAGGTAGCAGGTGATGGCTGCAGTGCTTGGGGCACTGCCACCGGCATAGGCTGCCCAGACTGAGTTTCAGGCTCCTGGTTTTCACTTGCCAGGCATTTGAGGGTGAGCCAGCAGATGGAGGATCTCTGTCTCTATCTCTCTTTCTCTCTGTTTTTCAAAAAAAAAAAAAAAAAATTGCTTGCTGACTGTTAGACTGAAAGGTTTGGATTTGGACTCATAAGCAATAGAGAAACAAATCTTAGAAATGGCAGCAACAGTCCTGTCAGGTCTGACTCCTCTTCATCTGCTCTAGTCATTGTATATTCTGACAAAGAATAGGGGTGGGGAAAAGGAGAGGGGCCGGCGCTGTGCTGTAGTGGATAAAACCACTGCCTGTGACACCGGCATCCCATATGAGAGCCAGTTCAAGTCTTGGCTGCTCCACTCCCCATCCAGTTCTCTGCTATGGCCTGGGAAAGCAGTGGAAGATAGCCAAACTCCTTGGGCCCCTGCACCTGCGTGGGAGACCTGGAAGAACTCCTGCCTCCTGGCTTCGGATCGGCACAATTCTGGCTGTTGCAGCCATCTGAGGAGTGAACCAGTGGATGGAAGACCTCTCTCTCTGCCTCTCAAATTAAAAAAATGTAGATTTATTTATTTAAGGGCAAAGTTACAGAGAGAAGGAGAGACAGACACAGAGAGATCTTCCAACTGCTGGTTCAGTCCCCAAATGGTCGCACAGTCAGGGCTCTGCCAGGCCAGAGCCAGGAGCTTCTTCCGAGTCTCCCAATGGGTTCAGGGGCCCAGGGACTTCAGCCATCTTCTGATGCTTTCCTAAGTGCATTAGCAGGGAACTAGATCGGAAGTGGAGCAGCTGGGGCTCAAATCGGCGCCCATATGAGATGCCAGCACTGCAGGCACTGTCTCTCCCTCTGTGTAACTCTCCCTTTCAAATAATTCAGGGAGGAGGGGAGACAGATCTTCCATCCACTGGTTCACTCCCTAGATAGCCACAACAGCCAGCACTGGACCTGACTGAATCTAGGATCCAGGAGCTTCATCCAGGTCTCCCATGTTGCTAGCTGGGGCCCAAACACTTGGGCCACATTCTGTTGCATTTCTCAGACCATTAGCAGGGAGCTAGTGTCACAGACAGCCACTTTACCTGCTATGGCACATGCCACTGCCCACACACACTCTTTTTTTTTTTTTTTTTTTTTTTTTT